TTTACCCACTTTGTACGTCACTGCCGATGTGGCAATTGCCTTGATGGTCATAGTGGCCTCCGCATTCTTGGAATTAAAGTTGACGAATTCCTTGGAATTAATATGCAACATGCCTGATCAAGGAAAGCCCTCTTGGTATTAATTCGCAGATTTTTTTTTCAAATTTCAATTTTGGGTGGAACCAAAAAATTTTGTTTATATGGGGATTACGAACTAAAATGAGGCGACTTGGTGCTACGATGTGTGTGTGTACATTTGTGACATAATGAGCAGTGCAGATTAATGGAAAGTCGATTGTTTATAGACCCCTTTATGTCTTCCACACTTTTTAGAGGCGTTGGGGGGTGAGGGGTGATTTCTTACCTTCGGATGGAGTGTGCATCTCGTTGATGTTAGTTTCCTTGATCACCACGGGAGCGGAATCGACAAAGGTGACCTGCCGATAAAAGAGAACTCGTTCAAATGACCGTCTTTTGGATGGCAGATAGGATGGTTTGGTGGCGCCCTTCTCATCAGCCGCCTCGAACGTGCTTTTCTGTGTCATTTTCAGAAGGGCCTCCCCAGTATTCTGGGCACCCTTGAGCTGGCATTATTGGCGAAGGTTCCACTCGAACTGGAGGGCGCTGGGTGAATTGGTTTCATTGGCTCTGCAGCCGGATGTGGGCTATTCTGTGCGAGACTGACACATCACATATGCATTTGGGAACATGGGTTTTATCTGGATGCTTTATCTGCCCTCCGGATGCAATCGGAAACTCACGTAATTGAAACGCCCTGCCTCAGACATTGGTCACATTTGCCAGTTTCCACACACAGTTTATATCCGTAATCTGATTCAAGATCTAAAACATAAAGGCAAAGCAGTTCTTTTGGGTCCTCGGAGATTAGGTCTGCAACTAATTTGCATCCACCAAAACATGAACACTTTTATACAGCTGGCAACCCTGAAACTGTGGATTTCCTGGCGTGGCATTAGGGATACTTGAAAACGCGTTAGTAAATTTGTTTATATTCAACTGTGTCTAACGCTGTTTTGAATGTTATTTTTCGATGAGATATTTGAGCTATTAATTATATTTTTTAAAAGGAAGACTTAAACACATGCGTAAAAGTAATCAACTCCGCGGACAACTGTATTGCCACTAGTAAAATTTGTATAGCTAACACTACGAATTTCCGAATTTTAATTTGCCCTTTAAGCCGGACTTTACATTTGATCGAAATGAACTAGTAAAATGAACAACTAGTTCATTTCGATCGCATCGCGGTACAGATACAAACTCCAATTGGCACTTTAAACAATTCATTCTGCTTAACTTCAACTGAACAAACAACAGTTGTCATTTTCAGCACCAAACAAAAGAAATTATGCATGATGACTTCATCGTCTTGGATGGCAAGTGAAATGGGATCCGACTCAGATTTGTTGTGCTTTTGCTTGGAACTCCACGTAGCGCACACATGATCATTATGATTCGCCGGATTAAGTCAAATACTGTGGGCTTTTCAATGGTTTATATATGATTTATTGATTCTTATAAATGACACGGATTTCTTAAGCGCAATTTAATGAGCATGAAACACAAAACACATTCTTCATACACACATACAAACACACATACCCTTGGCATTTCGCTGTTATTGCTCACACTTTGAGTAGTGAATATCAATTGGTACGATAACAATGCAGTTTCCACTTATGCTTGCTCCTTTGTTAATAACAATTACAGATTGCAAATGTCCATGACGATTAGCACAAGTATGAGACAGAAACGAATGTAAAATGCGGCTGCTTTCCGGATTTCTTGTGACTAGTTCGCGCAAAAGTGAAAATACAACTGAATTGAAAGCACATCAAAAAGCTCGCTCCGTCCCTGCTGTCTCGCTCACACTCGATCAGCTTCTTCCAGCTGCTGTTGCTGCCGCTTCCGTCTGGCGTAAAATGAACTGCAACTATAAATGAAATGAAAGTGTCAAAATGAAAGTGAAATGAGAGGGGGAGAGCGAGAATGAGATGAGAGTGCATTAGAATCGATGACGTCGTGTGGGTGTGAAAGAAATGCCGGATAATATTCGCTCTGGGAGTCATTTACACATACACTATACGGTACACATACGACACAAGACACATAGACAAGACACACACATAGAACCTCCCATAATCCCTTTGGCAATGTGTGTTCTACTTTTTTCGGGTCAACGCTTCGGGGCCTCGAGAACTGACCATTAGCCAGTGACCCCAGCCAGAAACCGAAAGTTTAGCAATATGTCAAATAAAAGACTATAAATAGCTAGTACAATGTTCTGCCCATAAAAGCGTGGGTGCACTGCGAAAAAATTAGTTCAGGGGAAAAAGTCTAAAAATGTTTTTCAAAGTTACGCAAACTGTATATAAAACTAGCTTAATATATGTCCCACATTTATTTAAATCATTGTACCTATCATGATATTTTAAAGATTTCTGCAGCTGCGCCTAAAAGCGTGCTGTACTTTTGCACGATTTATACTGAAGATTGGACAATATATTATATTTGAAACTCTGAAACTTGAAGCAAAGTGAAATGGTGAACGATAAACTATTTTTGCCTAGCTTAAATATTTCCCCCAGTGCACCAGGACAAACCTTCGCTGGGGCAAGTCCAGTGGTCAGTTGGGGACAGGCAACTCACGCAGGACACGCAAACAGCGCACCCTAAATCAATACGTCCCAAGAATGTGAATCAATTATGGTGGAAAGCGCTGTAAGGCGGTTCGCGTGCCGCTTTGGAAAAAGCAATTAGGCGACCGAGGGACCGACTGCTTCCGGGTGCAGCCGTGTCACAAGGACACTCCCCACAGGCGAATTGCGCTCGAGATTTGGTCTCTTGTGGGTGGCAGTGGTAGCCACTCACCCACTAACTTACCTTTTTGTCCGCGAATTGCTCATCATCGCCGGCATTGGCAGCCACCGGTTTGGAAATAACCTTTTTAGCCTCCGGCACAAAGCTAAACTCGTAGTTATCCTCTCCACCCCAGCTGGCCAAGCAGTTGCTCTTGGTAATGTACTGGCTGATGTCCTTTTTCGATATCATTTTTAAAATCTCAACTGCTTTGGGTGGCAGCAGTGCCTTGATGACCTTAAAAGCAGCTAGAAAATAAGCCGCAAAAGGTCATGCTCATGGTCAATGTTCAATGGAAAAAGAGGCTAAATACTACTCACCATTTAGCACCCAGGCCAGTTCGAATACCAAAATGTAGTTCAAGGTATTGGGATAGTACTGCTTAAATGTCTCCACAATGCGTTTAACAAAGTCCAGATCCATGGTGGCCAAGCCAGTGCCGGCCATGTCGAAGAATATGGTCAACTGGGTCAGATGCCGCTCCCTCTGGGTTCTCTCCACCCAGTACACCACGATGCGGATGAGCTCGTCCAAGTTCTTGGACTTACTGTGCAGCTTAACGCGGAATATCAATAGCGGCATGGCATCCACATCATAGTTGTGCACGAACACCGATCCCTCCTTTAGATACTCCTGGTTCAACTGGCTCTCATCCAGATCGTTGGCCCCATATGATTGACGCCAGGCACAGGTTTCCCACAGCTTGGTAAAGGAGGCCTCCATGTCGAGATCATGCATTTCCAGAAACCTTTGGAGCCACAGATGATCGTTGCGAATGCGATCAATATCGGTTGGGTGGAAAGGTGCTGGCAGCGAATCATGTAAAATAATAAATAGATTACTGGAAGTGGAATTGGAATCTTATCTGCGCTTATTTATAGTTAATGTAGATAATGAAGTTTTTACCGTTTGTAACAATGCTCTTATCTCTGCACTTGCAATGTTTAGCCTGTGCAAATCGGTTTTAATCGTTGAATACATAAAAGGTAAATTGGACACGATAGGAATATGATTACTAGGATTAAGTGGAAGTAGTGGTTGTAGATGAAACAAACAATTGAAACATATAATCTGTTCCCACTTCTATTCCATTTCAATTCGGTTTTGTTTAACCTTTGACCAGGTACTTAGCCTTGTGCCGCTGACTGTCAGCAGTTCGGAAATCCATACCCAATTCTATATATGGTAATTTAGGAAGCTATAGCTGTGGTCCCAAGTTCAAAGCTTTCGTTTGAGTGCACTTGGAAAAGGCAGGGCTGTGTGAATTATTCAGCTACTAATTGGAGAATTTGCAGTACAAATAAGACAGGGTAAATGAATCATAAGAGCAAACTATTAACCCAACACTGCTATATATCTGGTAATTACGGAATAAAACCTGCCATCTGTCATAAACCAAAGCGCACACAATATATTAGACAAGCTAGTTAACGAACCTTGCACTTTGTATCCGTCAAGTGCTTGGGATTATCTCACCTGCTGGGGGTGATGAGGCATATTTGCTATTGAACCTTTCGCGCAGCTCCTCGATTTGCTGGGGGGATACGTCCTTCACCTTGATGCCCATGCTGCCAGCTAGTTAACGCACTCGTTCTCAACCAAACTTGTGGCAAGACTGAGCAATCAAGTTGAATTCCAATTCCAATCGCAAGGGGCAATGCGGTGCTCCTATCGCTTGGCGCCTAATCGGAAATCCACTTTCACTGCGATTAGATTGGCTAAACGGGGAGCACAGGTGAAGGTACAACAGGTGGAGGTACTTCAACGGGAGCCACTGAGCGATCCAAGTGCGTTCCACGAGCGTGTGCGGCTAACTGAACAGACGACTAACGGAGTCGCCAGCGGCTATCCACGATCGGTAGATATAGATACGTATATCGCTTCGATCGTTGGCAGTCATCCGGCGTGTAGCTCGAATGTGGAGCACCAGGTTCTGCGCGGCACTATAATGGGCCTCCCAAAAGGGCAGCCCACCCACCTCCCACCAGCGAACTGCCGCAATGGAACGTGATCGTGTGGGGGCATGCCAGTTGCATTACAATTAGGCCCAAACGCTCGAGTGTTTGTAGTGCGGAAAGCTTTGCAAAGCTTTTCGCTGGTGTAGTAAAAACAGCCGCGAAATATGGTCAATAAATATCGTATTATTATTTACACTATTTAACAAAGTTGTTGGACAATTCCATTGTTCAGGCGAATTTGTAAACGTAGTCGTCATTACCGCCCCAGATTTTCAGGCAGTTATCCTTGTCCACATACTGATCGATGTCCTTTTTGGTGGTCACCTTCAGGATCTTCAGAGCTTCGGCGGGCAGGAAGGTCTTCACAATTTTAAAGGCAGCTAACAGAAACACAGAAAACCACCCTATCAACATACTGATCCTTAAGGTATAACAATTGCTTACATACCATTCAGCAGAAAAGGCAAATCATGCACCAGAATATAGTTAGGCACATAGGGATATTTGGTCTCGAACACTCCGATAATACTCTTGATGAAGTCCAGGTCCAAGTTGCTCAGACCGGTGCCAGTCATATCCATGAAAATGGTAATCTTATCCAGGCTACTGTCCCGCTGCAATCGCTCAATCCAGAAGACAAGGATTCGCAGTAGGTCCTCCTGATTTCGGCTCTTCGAGTGTTTGTTGATGGTGAGGATCAGCAGGGGCTTTCCGTCCTTGTCCTTGTTGTGCACAAAGATGGAGCCGTCGTTCAAAAACTCCTGGTTAAGGTTCTGCTCGGTGATGTCATAGACTCCGAAACTTTTCCGCCAGGCGAGATTGTCCCACAACCTCGTGATGCACTTCTCCACATCACAGTCATAGACCTGCAGAAGCTTGGTGATCCAAAGGTCACTGTCCGTAATTCTCTTCAGATCGTTGGGATGGAATGGTTCTATTTTGGGATTGTATATACATAAGTATATACTAGATTAGAAGTGATTCTTTGCCTGAGTTAGCTTACCTGCTGGTGGCTCTTTCTCCACTTTCTGCAGAATGCTAGTCTTGACTTGACTGATCTGCTCTGGAGTCGGATCCTGATCGGAAGGCATGTTGCTGGCTGGGCTTGCGGGAACCAATTGAAATATCCCCCGCAGTGAGCTTCAAATTTATATCAATTTCTTATCTCCCCTTTTGACTATTTCAGCTTATTCCAAATTTCCGAGTTCTGGGGAAAGATTTCCTAATCTGGGAGCGGGATGACTGGCCTGCGAGCAGTCTAATCATCGACTGACAGCAAACTCTGCCCCAAAACGCTCGTCGTTCCGCTCGCCGAGAGCGTTTCCATTTGTTCTCCAACTGTGCTCTGCTTTTCAGACGATCACTTTAAATGCCTCAATGCGGGTGGGGGCACTGGGAGGGGTAACCGCATGCCTCCCGTTCTTTAATCAATATTGGAGCCCGCAGAAAGTGCGGGGGGGCAAAAAGTAGGGGCCCCCGTCAATTGCGATAAGCGGCAGAATCGGGGAACTGGCAATGTTTATGGGGTTCGTGCAGTCGACTCTTCAGGAACTTGGTTTTTATGACTCTAGCTGTGGTTTTCTTTGCGATATATGACGTATCCACTGGCTTCCTATAGCCATGTATCTATCGCATTTAGCTGTGGAAATTCCTTGTGGCTTGCCTGGATTCGATGTAGCAAGCGAAGTCTACTGGGCTCGATTATTTCAGTTCAATTGTCAGCCGCTGATTGCGGTGGCTGTAATTGATATCAAATAGCAACGGTCATGGCTTAATAACAGTAATTTCTTTTTTTAATTAGATCGATTTATAATGGCACATATGTATTTCTAAGCTAAATTAAACCACATTTTAATCTTATCTACCTGTATTTCATTACCCAGATAGAGGGATTAAAGGTGTGCTATTCGAAGATCGCAAAACTTGCATTGTTTTCTCATCGTTACGCGTTGATATTTTGCTGTCTGAATCATTTTTGCATTTGCATATTTTAAGAAAAGATATGGCAAAAATAACTAGTTTTAGGTATTCAAACCACTGGTATTGAGACACTGATTTTTTTATAATTAATAACAGCCATTGTTCGAAATACATTCTTATCGATATTTACACATCAGAAAACCAATCCCGTCAACGATGCCGGTTATTACAGCCCATAATTAACATTAGCCCATTAAACATTTATATATTTTTTTCAGATATAACGTAATTAAAGTTAGCAAGCCTAAGTAAAAATAAGCATTTGTTTTAGTCAAATATAAATATACAAAATATATTATACAATTTGTATATTTTACTGAATGCCCACAACAGTGGCTTATTTACTGACTTTTTCTTAATGGGCGTTACCAATTATACATAAAACGGATTTTAAAAATGATATATTATATACAGTGTGCGCTAAAAATCAATCAATGCTGTTTAATAAATTCTCATAAATTATGAATTGACTATTTAATAAAATCTAATCATTCTGAATCTGAATATGTGTTGCGCCTTTGTTGTTGTTGACATTGAAAACGGATGAGAGGCAAGAGCTAACAATAACAAAACCGAAGCCATTTACATATCGAAAGCTCGATTCCTCGTATCCGAAGCCCCCGCCATTTGGACCGCCATCCCAACCAAAATCGACATCCAAGAACTTTCGCTGCCTGTTCTCTGCTGGCCCAGTTGTGATGTTTACGTGAAAACGTGCGTTTGGAGTGCGACCACATCCTCGCGATTTATCCGGATGCGGATGCAGTGCAGCCAGTTGTGAGATCCCCCCAATTCCCGAGATGAAGTTCGCCGAGCACCTGACGGCCCACATAACGCCCGAGTGGCGAAAGCAGTACATTAACTATGAGGTGAGTGCCTAAAATCGCCGTTCGAAGGTGCGGAAAAATATGTATCCGTGAGATACACGGACGAATGTGCTTTTCCCGCTGTCACTCTGCCAGCTGTGACGTCACGTGCCCCATCAGCTGTGGCATCCAACTGTCAAACGTTGGAGCTTTCAACGCGCATGCGCCCTGTTTATCGGCATTCTGTGTTTTGCTCTCCTCGGACGTAAACAAATACGAAGGGCTGGCAGGTTGGAGGAGCAGGAGATGCATAGATACATAGATACAGTGGGGGCCAAACGTATAGGTCCTTTGCTTAGAGGTTATATATATATTCGAACTATATGTAAAATTAAAAAAAACGCATCTGAAATAACATTTCAATGCAATATTATTGATAATCCTATTGGTCATACATTTATGTGTCATACTTTTTAGGAGATGAAAGCCATGCTGTATGCAGCCATCGAACAATCGCCCTCCGCGGAACTCGTGGAGCGCGAGATGGTGACCCGATACTTTGCCAAATTCGATGAGGAGTTCTTCCACTACTGCGACAAGGAGCTGGCCAAGATCAACACATTCTACTCGGAGAAGATGGCCGAGGCGACCCGCAAATATGGCAGTCTGCGCAGCGAGTTGACCGAGGCCCTGGAGATGGGTCACCCAAAGAAGCTGCCCGCCTGGAAGAGGCGCACGCCGCTGGGCAAGAAGAATGTGCCGGCGCGCAAGATACAGGATCTCAAGTTGGCATTTAGTGAATTTTATTTGGGGCTAATACTGCTCCAGAACTATCAGAACCTGAACTTCACGGGATTCCGTAAGATACTTAAGAAGCACGACAAGCTGCTGAGCGTGGACTACGGTGCACGTTGGCGCACGGATCACGTGGAGGCAGCCCACTTCTACACCAACAAGGACATTGATCGTCTGATCCAGGAGACGGAGCAGGCTGTTACCCAGGACATCGAGGGAGGAGATCGTCAGCGGGCAATGAAACGGTTGAGGGTACCACCACTGGGCGAGCAGCAGAGTCCTTGGACCACCTTCAAGGTGGGTCTCTTTTCCGGCGCCTTTGTGGTGCTCTTCATTACGGTTGTGATCGCTGCCATGTTCTACGGATTCGGAGAGAACTGGCGGGCCGGCATGAGGATGTTCCGTGCTCCGTTCCTCATCATCGAATGCCTCTTTCTTTGGGGCGTCAACGTCTACGGCTGGCGGTCGTCCGGCGTGAACCACGTGCTCATCTTCGAGTTGGATCCACGAAACCACCTGTCCGAGCAGAACATCATGGAGGTGGCATCCGTGTTTGGAGTTATCTGGGCCTGCTGCGTGCTGAGCTATATCTTTTGCGATCCACTGGGCATCCCACAGTATGCCGCTCCACTCTGCCTTTACACATTGATGGCTGCCTTCTTGCTGAATCCCACGAAGACGTTCCATCATGAGGCCCGGTTTTGGGCCTTGAGGATCCTCATTCGGGTCATCATGGCTCCGTTTTGCTTTGTCAACTTTGCGGACTTCTGGCTGGCCGATCAGCTGAACAGCATGGTGCCAGCTTTTCTGGATATACCCTTTCTGATTTGCTTCTTTGGTCGAAGTCCCACCTGGCACAAGGCTGGCAAGGGTAAGTACGAGAACTGGGTTTCCTTCCATTCCATGTGCATTCAATAAAAGTTCCTTTCCCAATTGTACTTAACAACTTTTCGGTTTCAAACATTGCAAATTGCATGCTGAATCGCTTAATTATTGACTACATGCCGATTAATTGGCCATCATTGTTTTGCTCATGCAACAGCTGGCAGCCACTGCGTGGAGTACGTGTCTCTGCTGCATCCCATTGTTGCCATTCTGCCCGCCTACTTCCGGTTCGCCCAGTGCATCCGCAGATACCGGGACACAAAGGAGTCATCTCCGCATCTGGTCAACGCCGCGAAGTATGCCACGGCCTTCTTTGTGGTTATATTTGCCCACAAATATCACACGACCACGGGTAAGTGGATTCATTATACGGTGCGTGAGTTCATTAGGGCACACCTACGTCAACGCAATTGCAAATATATGAGTACGAGTATACGTGTATACATTATACGTGCTATTTAGGGTCCAGTGCCCAATTAGTGCCGAAAATTCATGTAGATTGTATTTTGACGGTGGGGCACGTGCATCCCACCACCACTCACCCCATTGCCCTCTCATCCCCAGACACCTATCCGCTGTCCAAGGAGAATCCCTGGTTCTACTGCTGGATTACGGCGGCCATCTTCTCCTCCTGCTACGCCTACACATGGGACATTAAGATGGACTGGGGACTGTTCGACTCGAAGGCGGGCGACAATAGATTCTTGCGTGAGGAAATCGTTTATTCATCGACGGTGAGTCCGGACGGCTGGATTTCTTTGGCTTCTTTTTATTTTTGCTCCTACTTGGGGTCGGAGCAGGGGCAGACCCCACAAGTAATGGCCACGATAAATATTTGGGCAAACGGCACGTAAAACAATCTTTCAAAGCGTTCATTATCTGTGTTCTTTTCGGTGGCCAGTGGTTCTATTACTTTGGCATAATTGAGGATTTAATACTGCGCTTCAGCTGGACCCTCTCCATGAGTCTAATTGAGGCTGGCTACATTGAGGGCGATGTCATGATGACCATTCTCAGTCCCCTGGAGGTTTTCCGTCGCTTCATTTGGAATTACTTTCGGTTGGAGAACGAGCATCTGAACAACGTGGGCAAGTTTAGGGCTGTGCGGGATATATCGGTGGCTCCAATGGATTGCTCCGACCAGGTGAGTCTTGTTGCCACGCAACATAGGATCTTATACCTTTTGGGCTTATTTCAATGGGCTTTTGATTGGACAATAAGGCAAAGCGCTTAGCTCAAAGCTTACTAAGGCTATCAAATCATACCAAATGCAATTGAAATGTAAACAGCACACTATGCTGAGTGTAGCACTGAACTTAACCTTCACGATATCCTTCTCTTCGATTTCAGACCACGATTTTGCGCATGATGGACGAAACCGATGGCGTGTTGAACCGAAGGCGTGGAAAAGCCGCAGGCGGCAAATCCGCAACCAAGAAGAACAAACAGGAGCAGCGACTGCTCCTTCAAGGGGAGTCCATCGAGGACCTCTGCTCGTAGTTGGGTTACCCAATCAACAGCTCTCTCTCTGTGTGCACAAATTTTAAGTTTATGCCAATAAAGCACTTCAGCTGCATTTGCGGACACTGAATAAATGGTCCTGGTTTCAATTCCATTGGTTTTCACATCTGTGAGCATGAAAGTTGGAGCAACAGAATTTCTAGTGGTCATTTGTATACCACATTTGGTTGGTGTGTCGATGGCGATTGATGACGAGCAGTAGTTCAATTTTCGTGACAGTTGAACAATAAACGTTGGGTAAACTTTGCTTCTTTTTGGGTGCGCCCTTTCGGGTGCCTAAAAATACATGTTATGTTATGTGATGTCGATGGATTGTTGTGGTAGTCATAGCAAATTTACGAAAATGCTGTCATGCGGAATTATTGCTGACATTACAATGCATGCGAGGCACTGTGTTAGGTTTTGCTGATGTATTTCGAGCAGGAAAAATGGATGACCACCGATGAGAGAGAAACTGTCGTTTTATTTTTACTTCTTTTGGGCCTACTTGTTTTCCAGGAAATTTTATATGATTAAAAGAAATTCTGTATTTTGCATAATACATTTACAGGAAAATTCAGTGGTGGCTGCTGTTGACACACAAATTTAATGTATTTCACCGTGAAATTCCGTGGGGAGTTGAAAAGGTTTCGTTCACAGCTGCTGTGTATTGATTGATTGATTGATTGATTGATTTTCTTTATGTTTCTCCGCTTCCTTTCTCTGTAATTATGGAATAAAACTTTGATGGGTATTTGCGTCCTGCTGATTACGTTCTTATCAAAGGTCATTCATGTTGACAATTCATAGTTGTGGCTAACATCAAAAATAATTGCTTAAGAGCAAAGCTTTTTCGAAAAGAAATTCATGCGTTCATCTGCCGTCATAAACCACTTTTTTGCTGCCTGTCTGAAATAAATGGGAATAATAAATGATTCTTTAATTCAATATGGGCTCAATTTAATAAGCAAACGAAAACTTACCAAGTTTTGCCAAAAGAAAGTTGAACAAATAGTTTCGGCAACTTTCTGTGTTTCTTGAAGTCAGAAAGTTTTGGTAGTTCTTGGAACTTTTTCCCTTGTAAATATTCCTGGCAGTGGTTTAAGTATTTAATTGATTTAATATTTTAACAAATGTTAACTTTCGTTTCCGCAAAATTTGGTTGACAAGTGAAGGCAAATAGCTGTCAAGCAACTGTACAAAGCCTTATTTTTACTTCAGCAGCTGTGTTGTGTTCCATATGAAAGCGGATTATGTTGAACATCCCAGTTGCTTATGTGGGCAACGCGAAGTTCAATTTAAATTGCACTGCCAACCATTTAAGCATTTTTGAAACTTGTATCCCTTTGGGGCAAAATTTTGATGTGGTTCTGTTGCCGGGCAACTCCGGTGCCAAGGCATCGGCCATTAGGCACCGTTTATGACTCGCAGATAGGCATTTTCTTCCTGGACTGTCACATTGATGGGAATCTCTTATGGGAGAGTGCTTGTTTTTGAAGTCCTGCGATAAGGATACCCTTTTTCGGGAGTGTTTTTATTAGCCCGAAAATGCTTAAGGGCCTTCGTGTGGGCGTGAGCCCATATTTAGCGAAATTTCATTTGCCATTCGAGATAAACCCATTGATAATGTTGTTGATGTATTCAACTTGTACCTTGTGGCTGCAGCTCTTAGGCGGATGAAATTCCAAAAAGCGCTTACGTTTTGGGAAATAATAAAAAAGGTTGAGGCTTTTGCTTTCACTTAAAGCCTTTCCACTTTCCACTTTTCACTTGAGCGAGAAACATCAGTGTTTACTTACACATATCGACGTTGTGGTGACACCTTTTATCCCAGCCCAACTGCTACTTTGTTGCTTATTTTTTGGTTCGGTTCCTTTACTGCTGTCAAAGCAGATTTTCTTTGATTTGACAGGGGGTCGGGACAAGTGGGCCAGGCCAACTTAGGCAACTCCCGACAACTGATGGCCAGCACACGCTTTGCGCACAACAATGGCGATGTTCAATCATACGGATAGTCCACAGTGCGTATGCGTGTTATTGTGTTGACATTTTCGGCGTGGCCTTGCATTTGCCCATGTTGTTGAAGTCCCTGATTGCAATTGTTTTGTTTGGCTAACTCTGGCTTACTTATTGCGTATACGCCATGTTTAGCCTGTGCAATTGCCTTGTGCATCGGTGTTCGTTAATGTTTGTCAAGCTAAAACATCTGCGCTTGGGGGCTGATAAATGTATAAACATTCCGCCAGAGATTGGAGTGGCAATGGCTGAAAAGCAATGCCATCGGAATATGCAAATGGCCAAGGATAGAGAAATGGAGAGGGCTTAGCTGGTTGTGCGGCACGTGCGTAATTATTAAGCCAGTTCAAATGAAAACTTATCTGAATGTATCGATTGCAAAATACCAATTTAAGTGTTGCTTATGATTGAAGGGTTGCTGCCAATTAGACGCACGTGTAACTGGCTCGTTGCAGAAAATATATTTCTAATGATGAACTGAAATAGAATTCTTTGATTGTCGACGCGTGTTGACTTATCGGAATCCTTAGAACAACACCTGCGGCAATGTGCCACTCAAGCGGTTCCACGCGGCGTATACGTTATTTGACTGTGGATTAAAAAACACAGTTGGTAGAAAGTGAACAATATTTCACCATCCATTCTTCAGTGTAACTCCGAGGTCCGGAAACAGCGCTTCTTTCAGGAGGGACACTGATTGAACAAATGTTTACATTGAAAGTTAATTAATTAATTTAAAGCTTGTGGCAGCGACTGATAGAAAGTTGTCGGGAATTGCCAATTAATATGCTAATCGAATACCGCACGGGCTTTAATTAGGCATAAAAGGCATTTTGACGGCCTGCCGACCGCGAACCTTCATTTTGGCAAAAAGTGCGTGGCCTTCAATTTAGGTTGCCCAACCTAATGTCAGCCAATGTATGGATAACCCCAAGAGGAGGCGAATAAATCTTGTTTGCCAATGCCATTCTGAACCATCTGAGTGGGATGTGCTGAGTAATACGATGCGGAAGAGGCCCATTCGTTGGACACCATTGATTGATGGCCAAGTTGCTTGCAGAGGAAAAAGCTATTTATAATTTGTTTATTATTTATCATGCATGCTAATGCCGATATATGTATATATATAGAGCCGTTTATTGGTCCTGCTTGTTTGCCTATGAAATTTGATTGAAACTAATGGAGGCCGATGCCGAATGATATCGGCAAACGCCACCCAAAGGACACGTAAAAGCCATTCAAATAGGAGAAATAGCTCAAATTCGCTGGGAAGCAGATAATATGCATAAGGGTTCATAACCAGTTTAAAGACCTTAAAGCGTATTGCAAAGCCTAAACTAAATAAGCTTATTTCCGATGCTCACGCGCCGTGGAAATTCCATTTGAGTGCATATCAATTGTCAACCCTGCTTAAGCTCAAGCACTTTGTGTCGATTTATCATTTATAGAAATATTCCATTCCTTCAAGCAAAGACATTTCTCCGTTTTCCACTTTAGAGGGGGTCAACTTCAGTGGGCCAAGAATGTCAAGTGGCACTCGCGTTGTCAGTCAAAAGTTTTGACAGCCAAATTCATGGGCAAATACCAGAGTCGACAAAGTAAACATGCGGAATAGCTGAAATTCAGTATTGACGCTATTCTAATGAAAGAACAACAAGCCGCAGTGGTTGGCCCAGTTAAAGTTTACTTTTGGCAAGCAAGATATTAATATTATTAACTGTGCAATTAGCTTATTTGGAAATAGTTTAATATTAATAGCCTTCTGCTCGGTTGCAAAAACTTTAAGAGCCCATCCATTAGCATAATTGTTTTTGTGGGCTTTTCTCGAAATGCTGCGTTATTCGGATTTTTTGGTTCTTACTCTATTAGTACTAATTGAATTAAATGCGGAGAATGCCTTGATAATTGAGCTGAATTCTAAAGCTCGCGTTTTACTATCGCGAAAGTGTTGCCATTTTGCGTAGATTTTCACATTTATTGCTGAAATATTAATCTCTTTATACCCGACTTCCCTTTGGGGATTTATTTACCCGCGAATCGTTGTCATGGAAACTATTTGGCTGCGGTCTATCTCACCTACAAATGCTGGGCACATTGGTACTTTAGGTTAAGAAATTGCAATTTACAAAATAAAATTGAAATTTACAAATGTATTGTCTTAAATTATATAGTTACACACTCCAAGAAGTGTGGAAAGGGTATCCAAGCTGTTGAACGCTTTTTTACGGCCTTTGTTTATATTGTGCAGAACGCGCATGTATTTTCAATTAAAAATTCTCGTAAAATGTAACAGGATAACGAAGTGGTTAAAGGACCGGTAAATAAATTGAATTTTGTACGTTCTTAAAGAGCACAACTTAAGTTTAAGTGCTGCGTTCAGGAAAAGCGAATCGTTTACAAAAGCATTCTTTTTGTGTTCTTCTGAATAAGTCCTCAAGTCTTTTGTGTGCTAATATTGTGCCTTCCGAAAAGGTCAGGTTTTGTTTTGTGCTTTGAAGTACTCGGTTTTGCTTCGAAGTACACCAAAATAAGGAGCGCAATTAAAAATGGCCTAATGCGCTTGGCAAGCGGAGCTTTTCCTTGTACATATGCTACAGCTGCCTAATTTCCACCGAATATCCAGCATGTACTTTAACACGGAGGTGTCACCTACTATAAGCCCACATATTTTTCTTGGAGTCACGAGATTGATGTGTGGCTCTTGTTCCACATAATTTACTGGCACGATTTATTGGTGACAAACGGCTTCCCGCTAATGCGAATCGCCTTGCCGGCTTATAGCCTAATTATTTTGGCTTCAATATGTTGAAATCCCCTCAAAGGCGAAGACGACTGTTTGCGACAACTGCCAAGAGGCTTTCAGTAGTCGACGTTCCGAAAGCTGTGTATAGTTTACACTTGGCGGAATTTCCTCACACTCCTAATTAGATCTCATTTGTGGGCCCCAAATGACCACTAAGCGCTTGTACTTATGGCTTTTCTCGAGGGAATTAGGTTCGAGGACAAATATGACTTCCTGGGCACAATAAGTTGTATGTTTCAATGAAAGTTCCTGTAGAGTAGGCGTAAGGAAATTCGTTTTGAAATGTTTTCATCATTTAATATTCATTAAGATGCTTACATCTTTTATGTCATCTCCTTGGAGCGTGAACTAACTTCATTGGAATGCTAATTTTCTAATTGAATACATGTAGCCGTGTATCCATGACTGGATATGAAAAGCTTAAAGAGCGCACACGTACATAAATCTACATAAATTTCCTGGCAACTGACGTTCATATCGACCCTTTCCCCGGCCACGCTGCGTATACGCAATAAAGCGAGTGACAAACTGTCTGCCATTCTCGTCAAGCGTCAAGTTGCCCCAAAAATTCTTGTTTACTTTCTGCCTTTTAAAATTCAACAGCACATACATATATAGGAGCCTTACCCAGTTGTCATATGCTATAAATCAAGTGAAGTCCAGAAAGTCTGCGGAAGGCAGCAAAGTCCCTCGGTCTCAAGTTGCCTGAAATCTGTCAATATTCTGAAAGTGAGGGGGAGCTTAAGACTTAACTGTCTTAAAATTTAACATTTAATTTAATCCAAGAAGCTCAATCTCCTGAGTTCGACACACACAAGTTTCAGCGGGGCATTGTGTGGGGCAAGTTGGGTCGCTGCGTGCTCAGAAAAGTTGGACACCCATTGTTGCACTTCCTGTTTCCTGCGCAAGTTCTCAGCGTTTCCAGTCGCATCAAACATGCATGTAATTCGCATACGCGAATTTCCCAACAAGTTCAATGGCCAAGTTCCACCAGTGCACGCCAGTCACTCCAAGTGTCCCAAGTTGTGGGCGCTGGGCGAGACAGGAAATTCATTTGATTTTACTGATGCTGATGCTTTTATTGAATTTTCACTTAAGCAGTCAGGACTCTTGGCAAATATAGCCACTGCCCGCCGCACTCAAGCGCTAATGGAAAACTCATTATCCTGGCATCGCGAGTCAGGGAAAGCAGTCATCTTAGCAATTAGATAGAAAGCGGGTGCGTTTCAGCCTGGTGGAAGCAAGCTTATTGGCAATTGTGTGTGTGCTTCTAGCCATAATCCCGAGATCTGGCATTGTGGTGTGTATAGTACAAGTATTTATCCCTTGAGTGCCACACAATGGCAACTTTAAAGGACCAACTGCGCATTGCTGATTATGTTGAGAGTAATTCCGGGGATCTGCAACGCGAGTGCTGCATTTGTATCCCATTAAAAATGCCAGTGATTTTAAGAACGGAATAATCCACATGACTTATTTCACTTTGTGTGCATAAAAATGAACGTGCCCACATTCACATCCCTTCATCCTTCGAATATTTCATGCCACGTAGAAAACCCCAAAAAAGAGTAATTACAACTGCGCTCCATGGTTTCGGAATTCATTTCATCCAAGGCGAAAAGAGGCTGTCAAGCTGAAGAATTGCAATTACAAATATTTGCTTTATGGCTGCCGGATTTACCTATCTTTCTGCTTTGTATTTGTCTAAGAACTTAACGCAACTACAACACTAAATGGAAAGCAATGGAAAAGCATTTAAACTCTTAATCAATTATGTTTGCAGAGGAATTTCCTCGGAAATTCGATATTTATCTAACAGACTTTGCACTGCATTCCGGCACTTAGGAATCCATTAGGCTCTTGTTTTTCCCGACTCTGTAGCTTTTGACCAGTGTCCAATGGACATTTTCGACTTGTGGGTTTTCAGGAAGCATGCCACGAAATGTGTGGAATCCCGCTGCCCGTGGCATTGTCAATATTGGGCGACTTTTCACAAAACTAATAACAGTTGGGCTGACTCTCAGAGTGGGAGATTCCACAGCGTCCAGGACAATGTGTATACAGAATAAAAGCGCTGGATGATACTCAAAAGAAACTGAAAAAAAAACATACAGTCTGTCTTAAAAATCTTTGAAATCATACAAAATGTTCGCCATTTAGTAAGGTGTGCTTTTAAGGACTACGAATTGTTACGAATTGAAGTGCCTCAGTTTCTGTCAGTGCTATGGTGGCACTGGCACATTACATCCCGGAAGTTGGACAACAGTTTGCGGATTGCGTGGCTGCTCCAACAGGGACTCTTTGTCATCGGCAGCTGGTGGAGGGCAAGCCCAGCTCAGACCCTAAACCATTCATCCGCTTCAAGGCAGCACACCGGGGTCATGTGGCCATGCATCTCCACCTGGGGGTTTAATTAACAGGGCCAATTTAGCCCGGTGATTTAGTGCCATTTAATGACGCTTCTGCTGTGCTCTGATGACGTCGGTAGTCCTTCATTGGACTCGTGCTAGCCATTGTAATGGAGTGCAGTGGAAACAGTCTTTTATTTGCCAGTCAAGTGAGTTTAATAAGAGCCTAACAGCTTAATTTAAATAATACTCGCATCAGGCGGCAATTAAAAGCAGTTAACCCGCCCGCAATCTCGTAACCTCCATGGGTGGGTCAGCATTTTTGAAAAGCTAATTACGTTTTAAAAGTCCATTTTACCCTTGTGCCCTTGTTGTTTTAGGGCCATTTTGACCTGCGGCTGTCTGACCGGGCGAAGCTGAAGCATTTGAATAATTATTTTAAGGCGTCTGGGTCACTTCCTCCAGTGGCTGAGCAGTTTGACTTGGCAAAGCACTTGAGCTCGAACGGAGCAAACATCCTGTTGCCATTGTCAGGCGAATTGAATTTACTCAAGGGGTACAGACAAGCCTAACTAACTTATACTATTCTGGGAAAAATATAAAAAATATAAAAATAGAAATAAGCTTTGAGCATCATGCAATCTGTTTGCAGAAAAAGTTGCCTACTTATTGGCATTTTACGCGTAATAGAGGAAATACCCATTTGTAGATATAATCAGCAAGCCTTTGTGCTAGAGAGTATTCCGAATATCGACCATACTTCAACTTATTTAAGTTCAAAAACGAAAGGAAGGAAAGGGCGTGAGATTCACCAAATCGTGAAGGCCATTTGCTACATCCTTGAATCCTGTTTGCAACCCACCAATTAGATGCAGTAGCTTCGTTTCCATGGAGCAGGCGTGTCTACGAAAGCATTCCTTCTTGTCAAATTCTGCAATATGCCAGTTGAAAATCTCATTTTCCTTTATTCACCCCTTTCGGATCAATTAATATGTAAAAACATCTTATATCTCTGCAGGAATGTGTATTCGAGAACAAACGCGTAGCATTGGCTTAGTGATGAGCTGCATCACTGCAATGAGCTGGGCTGGAAGCCAGAGTAAAAATGGGTATGCGGCCGAGTTCCTCTTCAGTTGGCTGCTCCGCAAGGTGGTCTAGATGGATATGAGCCACGTCGTGTTAATTAAAAACTACATGGCCAGGATGCCCATGTTCGTACCTGTTCGGGACTGCTGCTCCTCCTCCTCGGTGATGGTGGAGAAATTGGTTAGTCGCTGCGAAGTTATTAACGGACTGGCAGCTCCGAGCACACGGCGCCGCTTCCCATTGCCTCTTCCGGTCTCCAGCTGCTGCATCGCATTATCATGCTGCTGTTGCTGTTGCTGCTGCGCTTGCTGCAGTTGCTGCTGCGCTTTGGTTAGCTTCTCCGCTGCTGTGAAGACCACAATAGGCTTGGGTTTGACGAATGAGGCGGATACGGTGTTCAGGTGGGAGGGGAGAGGAGGGAGGGCAAGTAAGCATACTTGGGAGTGGCACAACACATTCACCGAATACCTACCGAAGCCGCCGAGTCCGCCAGTCGCATCTCCGCCCGCTGGGAGCGGAACGTCTGGTACTGCGAGATGACGCACAGCAGACAGTAGAGCTGGCGGTGGGAAAGGGATATTACGGGCTGGTAAGCCATCATGTGGTTACACTTGCGCTTTGAACTCACATTGAGGCACAGTAGGAAGAAGTCCATGGTGAAGATGAAACCCACAATCGGATCGAACTTGACGCGGCGGGAGAGGGCCAAGTGGACCAGGTGGCAGACCTCGATGAGCAGATCGCCCAGCATGAAACTAATCCAGGGTATCAGCAAATGTCTCTTGTTCTGTAATTTCATCCGGAATTGAGGTTGTGCCGGCAATTGAAGTCTTGAAGTGGATGAAAAGTAGCACACTCACCTGCTGGAGGCCCCATATGAGCACAACCGACGATAGCACCATCAGTATGGAGCAGAAGAGCAACAAAACGTTGAATATCACAGTCACTGCAAGAGGGATAAATCACACGTAATTGAGTCGCTCGCATGGAACAAGTGGCTGTGTCGGATGGAGTATCCTTCCGTGCAAGGGTATCCTTCGGTATGCTCGGTATGCTCACCTACAGTCACATCACCCTTCTCCAGCAAACTTTCACCCAGCGGCTGAGCACGGTTTCCCAGCAGAAAGTCCTGCTCCTCGATTAGGTAGAACAAAAACATCAGCGTCGAGAAGCCAAAGTAAACCTGTACGGAAAAAATGTGAAAAATACTAGGAACATCCGGGCGTAAAAGTAAATTGCGGCACACGCTTCTTGTTTACACGGAAAAAGACCCAAAAGTGTCTCCTTCTCCGGTCCCCAAGAAAATTCCTCCAAGTACAAAGTGAAGCCAGTAATTGCTGAAGAAGTACGCGCAGCTCAACGCGATAATATACATATATGCTTGGATATGTATTTCACACAGTTAAGCTGTTAATCATTCTAATTTGACAGCAATCAATATAGAAAAAGTAATCTAACGAGCACGGAAATCAATTAGGAAAAGTAATCTAACGAGCACAGATATGTTTGTAATGAGAAATGAAATTTATGGGTGGCATGTACTGAAGTTTAATGCCTATGAAAAACTCAACTTGTTGCTGGGCTTTTTACACTTAACTATTGTCCTTACAGAAATAAATATTCTTCTGCGGTACATTGGATATAGCTTGGGGCGCCCAAGTGCAGGGGTTATTGCCACTTGTTGGAATCACTTGTAAAAGTTCCTTTCAATACCACATATACTGTCCACCTATGTGGACAACTAGATATTAAAGGTAAGTTTTGGTTGCTTTTGCTTAAAATGTTTGGAGCACTCTTGGAGCACAACTTGGCTGCAAAAGTTCAAGGGAATTTTTCATATATTTATTCATGCTCCAGGCCACAACATCTTATCTCCAGAAATTATTCATATATGAGGAGCAACTCACCAATGTGTAGATGGCGCAGGCAAAGCTGCCACTCCGCACATCCTTCCAAAAGCAACAAGACTCCAGGATGGCCATCTTTCAGTAGCTCACGCCTCGCGGATGAGCATTCCAAGCACGCTGGCACAAGAAAGATTTTTTGTTTTTTTTCTTTTAAGGAACGGCAGCCGCCACTTTCACTTGACTTTCTTCACTTTCACCCGCTGGGATTGGGATGCCACTTTATTTCGTTTCCCGCCAAACGGCTAATTTGCTTGCTTCAGTTGTTTGTCTTTAGACAAGTTTTTATTTGGCACTCGGCAGATAAATATCTAGAACTTCTTGTGGCTGCTTGCGGGACAGCGGCACTGGCACATAATTTCATACACAAGACGCGCAGATTTATGACACTGATTTATGTGGCATGACCGAACATAACATAGTTAAGCGGACCGCAGTGTGGGATGCCAGGATGAAAGGACGCGAACATCCGAGTGGAACCGCCGCCATTGAATGTCGCATCGGGACTGGCTTGGTAGTCCTTATGCGATGGAACCACATTGCTTTCAATTTCGAACCCACTTCGCACACGCGTTTTATGAATGAAAGTTCGAAAGTGGGCGTGGGGCATGGGATTGTACGTGCAACGCATGCGCCATCTGTAGGCAAGCAACAGCAACAGGTGGTATTAGCAATCCTTGCACTCTGGTCCTGGCTGCCGACCAAATTTTCATGCAATTAACCACAAACTGTGCTGGCTTAGCCAATACCGCAAATAAATGCCTTGGATTAGTTCTCTATTGGATTTGCGGAGCCTTTAATTAACGTGGAAAACGCTCTGCTGGCGGTCTTTTTGATGAGCAAACTGACTGAGAGGAAGTGATGGCGTCGAGGAGTCCGGTTGAGTTCAATGACTATGCCCATTTCGTGCTCCAGTTGCTGCCACCAAAACGGAAATGAAAGGAAAAGTAGCTTAGGCACTGAAATGGAAAAGCATCAAGTCATCCGTGGAAAAGAATGGCAAGAATTCAAGAAGTCACAGCTGATTATGTAGTTTTAGCAGGAATTAATGTTCCCGCGATGATACAGAAAATGCTGTGATTTAGCCATATATACAATGCACTCAATTTGTATATATAAATATATTTTTTTAAAATATTTATTTTTATGAGCGAATTATTTTAAACATGAAGCCCAGATTTATAAGTCATCCGTGGATGACATTGTGAAGTGGAATACCTCTAAATGTTTCTGGAATTCTGCATTTAAATTTAGAAATTCATTTTTTTGTAATTTTTTGTATGTTTTGATGTTATAGAAATTCAAAAAAATGAAGAAATGTCCCAAGGTTGAAGTTCTACATTCCATAACTCAACTAATCTTAATCGGAATTTGAAGTGGCATACCTCTAAATGTTTGTGGAGCAATTCTCTAAAAACCTGCATTAAAATTTAGAAATTCATTTTTTTAAACTTTTTTGTGATTTTTTTGATGTTATGATGTAGAAACTCCAAAAAATTAAAAATGTCCCAAAGCTGAAGTTCTAAAGTCCATAACTCAACTTTTCTTAATCGGAATTTGAAGTGGCATACCTCTAAATGTTTCTGGAGCAATTCTCTAAAGATCTGCATTCAAATTTAGAAATTAAATTTTTTTTATATTTTTTGTCATTTTTCTGATGTTATGATGTTGTAGAAATTCAAAAATGTCCAAAGACTGAAGTTCTAAAGTCCATAACTCAACTTATCTTAATCGGATTTTGAAGTGGCATACCTCTAAATGTTTCTGGAGCAATTCTCTAAAGATCTGCATTTAAATTTAGATATTAAATTTTTTTTATATTTTTTGTCATTTTTCTGATGTTATGATGTTGTACAAATTCAAAAATGTCCAAAGACTGAAGTTCTAAAGTCCATAACTCAACTTATCTTAATCGGATTTTGAAGTGGCATACCTCTAAATGTTTCTGGAGCAATTCTCTAAAGATCTGCATTCAAATTTAGAAATTAAATTTTTTTTATATTTTTTGTGATTTTTTTGATGTTATGATGTAGAAACTCCAAAAAATTAAAAATGTCCCAAAGCTGAAGTTCTAAAGTCCATAACTCAACTTTTCTTAATCGGAATTTGAAGTGGCATACCTCTAAATGTTTGTGGAGCAATTCTCTAAAAACCTGCATTAAAATTTAGAAATTCATTTTTTTTAACTTTTTTGTCATTTTTTGATGTTTTGATGTAGTAGAAACTCAAAAAAATTAAAAATGTCCCAAAGCTGAAGTTCTAAAGTCCATAACTCAACTTATCTTAATCGGAATTTTAAGTGGCATACCTCTAAATGTTCTCACTCCCACACTTTTAAATCATTTTTAAGTTTTTTTCATTTAAGTACTTCTACCCCGTTTTCTACCGATATTCCAGAAAATGTTAGGATTTCGGGTATCTGATAGTCGGGGAACTCGACTATAACATTTTGTGTTGTTTTAAATATTTATTTTAATGAGCAATTTATTTTAAACATGAAGCCCAGATTTATAAGTCATTTTTCCATTTTCCCTGTGCTTCAATATGGCAAATGATGAAAATAAAAATGCATCGATTGAAGATGATGACATGCCCAAAAAGAGGGAACGAAGGGATCAGGGGCAACAGTCAGAGCTCAAGAAGATGTAGGTAGCGATTCTATAACTAGGTATAAGCTAAATTAGTGTATAATCTAAGCAGAACGTATAACATTGAGCCGGATAAAGTGGACATTGGAGTTCAGGCGGATTCGGTGGAGAAGGTCAAGGTGACATACATAGAGCCAGATGACGAGGAGTCTTCCCATGGTTTCTTTTGCGGAAAGAAGAGATCGGAAACGTCATTACCACGACGATCGTGGGAGACGGATGACTATATTGATTTCGATGATCTGCTGCCCTTGATTGGCCAGTTTGGTCGATTCCAGGTTATGCTGTTCCTGTTCATGATACCCTTCTGCTTCATCACCGCCTTTGTGTATCTGGGCCAGATATTCATGTGCCTGACCCCACAGAAGTACTACTGTTTTGTGCCGGAACTTTCACAAACGCCGACGGAGCTGCGCAAGCAGTTGTCCATCCCAAAGGAGAAGGATGGATCCTACAGTCGCTGCCGGATGTACGACACCAATTACACGAAAATCCACTTTGCCGAGAATCAGAGTGCTTATATCAACACTTCGCTGTCCACGATTCCCTGTCGAAAAGGATATGTTTTCGAGCAGGATGGCAGATCCTTCGAATCGGCCACCATGGAGTTTGGCTGGGTGTGCGAAGACGACATATACGCCACCTACACCCAGGTCATCTTCTTCTTGGGCTCGATTTTGGGTGGACTTGGTTATGGCCACTTTGCGGATCACTGTGGACGGGTGGCGGCGTTGGTCAGTAGCTGCTTCCTCGCTCTGGTTGGCAGCCTGGCCACCTCGATGTCCTCGAACTTCTTCAGCTTTGCAGTTTCGAGATTTTTAGTTGGTGCCTCCTACGATACCTGCTTCACGATGGTATACATTTTGGGTAAAAAAAGGCACATACTTATAATCAATCTTATAATAACTCTGTCGTTTTAAGTGCTCGAGTATGTGGGCCCCAAGTACCGCACCCTGGTGGCCAATCTATCGTTGGCCCTGTTCTACTCCCCCTTCACGATGATGATGCCGTGGATAGCGCTATCGGCCGGAAATTGGAGGAGATTTTCCTCATTTACATCGCTACCCATTGTGATTGCCATGTTTTCCTTTTGTCTGCTGCCCGAATCTGCGCGGTGGGTATCCAAATTGTGACAACTATAAGCCGAGATCTCCATCTATCCAGGCATTTTCTCGATCACAGCTGGCTGGTATCGGTGGGTGCGATCGACAAGGCCATGGAGATATTGAAAAAAGTGATTGAGGTGAACAAGAAGAATGTTTCCAAGGAAGTACTCGATCTTTTCGAGGCGAGCTGCACGTTGTTCTACAAGGAGGAGCTCGATGGTCGCGATTTTACAGTGTTTTCCATATTTAAGGGAAAGCGAATGGCCCGTTATATGATCCTGATGATTCTCATCTGGATGTCCATTTCCCTAATATACGATGGACATGTGCGTGCGGCCAGTGTCCTGGATAGTGATAATATCTTTGTGTTCTTTACCATCGCTTGTGCCACGGAGTTGCCGGGTAATATCCTGGTGATCCTTACTCTGGATCGCTGCGGACGTCGATGGTGCTCCTTTTTCTACACATCGTTAAGTGGTGTTTTTAGCCTGGTAGGGGCCAGTCTTCAGAAGAGGGAATATATGAGGATATCAGCGCTAACTGGGAGATTCTTTGCCAACACCTGCTATAATATAGGACTGCAGTGGGCCGCTGAGATACTGCCCACTGTGGTGAGGGCCCAAGGAGTGGCTTTTATCCACACGATGGGCTTCGTGGCGATGTTGATGTCGCCACCAGTGGTCTATCTTTCCAAAAAGTCCCTGTCCAGCACGCTGATCATATTGGGAGTCCTGGGTATCTTTGGTGGACTGCTGGCCCTGTTTCTACCAGAAACCCTGAACCACGAACTCCCGGAAACTCTCAGTGATGGCGCTGCATTCGGTAAGAATCAAAGGATATGGCATATGCCCTGCTGTGGCCCAGGATCAAGGAAATCCCATCCGAGGCACAACTGGCACCAGGGCTCCAGCCTAAGGACCTTATCGAAGGACGAGTTCCGCTCCACGAAAATGTATCGCAAGACGAAATATCACCAAGACTCCAACCCGAGTCCATCATCTAGTGATTACAGGAGCACCGATGAAAGGGAAATCCGTACCTATAGATATGGAAACGAGTCTAAGTGGCCAGAAGCTAAGAGCTGAGGTTATCTCTAAGTTAATTTTTTGTAATTATACTTTTCATTTTAATAATTTTAAGATTAAATGAAATCAAGAATCCAATCAACCCAGCACCAGCAATAAAGTTCATTGCCAAAGTTTCAATAATGTATACACTTCTTGCTTAAATAATTTAACAGATTTTCCCCATTCTGGGAAAACAAAACTTTTCCTCGTTCTGGGAACGGTTGTTTTGCCAAACTCTGCTAATTAGTTAACCGCTTGCTAACTTTCATGACGAATGCTTTAGTTATGGGGAAATTCTGTGACGTTTTCTTATGCCAGAATCTAACTCATTCGCTATTGCCAGTCGCAACCGGAAGATTTTCTCGAAATGCTCGGAAGGATTGTGTTGTTCCTTACTATAACATATGTGGCGTTTAATGCAATGTTTTTGCGCTGGGCCGCTGAAAGGCAACCGTTTAAATTCGATGACGATGAGCAGCACTTCAATGCAACGTTGGCGAAACTACTAAAGCCTCGATATGTGGGCAGCCAAGGACATGCCGAGGTTCGCGATTTCATCGAGAAGGAGCTGAAGCGTTTGGAATTCACCACTTTACAGAATGACTTCCAAGAGGGAGTCAATTTGACCAATTTGGTGGGCTTTTGGAATATGGGTGCACGATTTTTTCTGATGCTAACCTGTCACTACGACAGCAAAAGGCCAGAGAATGGTACCACCGACGAGTTCCTTTCGGCCACAGAAAACGCTGTTTCCTGTGCCATTATTCTAAACGTGGCAAAAACATTAAAGCAATTTTTAATCGACAAGTGGTCTGAAAAAAATTCCTTTGGACTGGCTGTGAGTAGTCATAAGCTCGTTGAAACTTTGTAATTATAGAATAGGTTTTTGAAGTTTATCTTCTTCGACGGGCACAATCCCCTAAGCGCAGATCCCTATGACGAAAATCAGCTAATGGGCGCAAGACACTTTATAGATGATGAATTTATACCCTTGGAAAGCATGGTAGGCATATAAAGTGCTATAAACTATACGTGTGGTATACATTAATCTTTTACTAGGCTCTTGCAGTAACTCTTAGCTATATTGGAGCGCCAAATCAAAGCTTTCTGAGCTACTATGAAGTTACCAACGATTTGCACAACATGATCGCTGACATCGAACTGAATCTCCGGAAATCCGGACAACTCGACGACTGTCATGTGCTATTCGAAAAGAAAAAGCACTACGACAACGATCTGCTTGACGATCATATTTTGTTCGACGAACTCGGTAACATCATAACTTATTTTGCACAACTTTATAAAGAGTATTTGTACGTCCACAGATGTGCCAGTCCTCCATGTGGGTCCAAAGGAATTTCCACATGTTCTTTATACGGCTGCGGACAATGTCGAAAATTTACAGTATCCTACCATTCGCAATATGATCAAAATTATACGCAGTTTTGTGCATAATTTCTTTCAAATGTGGCATTCCTTCATAAAGTTGAGAGAGATTTCTGAAATCGATTATGATTTTTACGATGACTAAATTAAATACGTTTCGCTGTTTCATAAAATACATATAATAGAACAAGAACATCTAAATGTTTAAGCATATAAAATAACTTTCAAATACGAATTTTGGTTTGGTATGACACATTAAATGCGTGAGCATCAATTAGTCGGCACACTTTTCCCCAACGACCGCGGCTTTAAAGCTTTCTGAAGCGCAACATCAACATGATCGACTCTTAGGAAACTCTCTTCAACGCAGGTTCAAAGCTTTCGAATGAGTTTGCACGCCAAAGAGGCAGCGGAAAACGAAAACAAAAGCCATCAGCATCGAAACCCAAACACAATCTACGGTAAAGATCGATTTTTCTGGCGCCGATCGCGCTTAGTGCTTCGCCGAGCTCCAAAGCGTGTAGATGGCGATCGGTACCGTAGTTTTTGCCGCCGCTGGCCTGCTGCTGCTCCTCCTCCCGCCCTCGCAGCAACAAGCGGCAACGGGAAACGTAAGTCCCCAATCACCAAAACACTCAGCAGCATTGTGACACACTTGGGAATTCGGCGACAGTTCAGATATCCAGAAAGAGTCATCTATTTGTCTGACCGACTTCCAGATTGCAGCCCAGTGGCGCGACGATGAGGTCCATTTCAACCGCACCCTGGACTCCATCTTGGTGCCACGCGTCGTTGGCAGTCGGGGACATCAACAGGTGGGTGATAAAGCTGAAAGTGTATTTATTGGCGTTTTAAAATCAACATTGCGCACAGGTGCGCGAGTACCTGGTACAATCGCTGAGCGGCCTTGGCTTCCAAACGGAAGTGGATGAGTTCAAGCAGAGAGTTCCAGTTTTCGGAGAGCTCACGTTCGCCAACGTTGTGGGCACGATTAATCCCCATGCTCAGAACTTCCTCGCTCTGGCCTGCCACTACGACAGCAAGTACTTCCCCAACGATCCGGGATTCGTGGGCGCCACTGACTCCGCCGTGCCCTGTGCCATTCTGCTGAACACCGCCAAGACCTTGAGCACGTATCTGCAGAAAGAGTTTCGCAATCGCAGCGATGTGGGACTTATGGTAAGTTACTTAGCGGCCATTATCACAGACCTTGATGGCTAAACAAATTTTCCACCAACTCCAGCTATAAAAAAAAACTGAGCGAAAACAGGTTGTATATTTGCTATTCAAATCTCCATCTGAAACTAGCCATGCATTAGTACTACATTGAAAAAGGCGTTACACCGTTCTACCAATATCACGCCAAGGCTAAGATGTCTCATTTAGTTATTAAAATTCAAACCTTCTCGTCCGCCAGCTCATATTCTTCGATGGCGAGGAGGCTTTTAAGGAGTGGACCGATGCGGACTCCGTGTATGGCGCAAAGCATCTGGCTGCGAGGTTGGCCAGCAAACGCAGTGGTTCTCAGACTAGCAGTCCAGCTCAACTAGCTCCACGCAATATAGATCGCATTGTAAGTTAATGACCTTTGCGTGAATTATCAGCTTGCTAAAATTGCGAAATCAATAACAGGAAGTGCTGGTGCTGCTGGACCTCATTGGGGCGCGAAATCCCACGTTCTCCAGTTTTTACGAGAACACCGACGGACTGCACTCCAGTCTTGTGCAGATTGAGAAATCTCTGCGCACTGCCGGCCAGCTGGAGGGCAATAACAATATGTTTTTAAGTCGTGTCAGCGGTGGTCTAGTGGATGATGATCACCGACCGTTCTTAAATGAGAGTAAGTTGGATATCCTTAGAAAGAAGCCATTAATAAAGTCGTTATACTTCCAGATGTTCCTGTGCTACATTTGGTGGCCACTCCTTTCCCAGACGTCTGGCACACACCGCGGGACAATGCCGCCAATCTGCACTGGCCTTCCATACGCAATTTCAACCGTGTTTTCCGTAATTTCGTCTATCAATACCTTAAGCGGCACACGTCACCAGTGGATTTGCGTTTTTACCGAACATAGTTTATGTTTTGTCTTATGGCTAAGATTTATTAAGCATAAGTGTAAAGTGTTTTCCGTTAATTAAAGTGTCCTAAGGCATGTGTAATTCCTCCTAGCGACGTTTGCGTCCGGCTTGCGTCTTCTTGCCAGGAGCCCTTTGACCACGATTGCCCTTTGACTTCTTGCCCACCGCCTTGCGACTGCCCTTGCCCTTGGGCTTCTTGCCGCCCTTCTTGCCTGGTTCATTTTCCGCCTCAGCTTCACGTCTGTTGGGGAAAATAAAGGTTTAAGTTTTATACTGTTCAGCAAACGGCTGGGTCTGAACTTACGCCAAACGATTGTCGCGCTTCTCCATCGATACCGCCTTGCTCACGTCCAGTTTGGGCTTCTTGTTCAGCACGCTCTTGATGAGATCCAGGTTGGCCTCCTTCTCGGGCGTTTGTGTGATATGCGACTGCTTGCGCTTGCCGCCAGGAATCAGCTCTTTGATGCCCAGACCACGTGCCTCCTTCTCCTTGGGCAGTTTGTTTTGGAATTTGCCGACTGAGGCTGTGGAGGATTTGGCCACAGTGACGGCTGTTAACAGCTGGCTGGAGGAGGCAGCCTCGGGTCCCAAGTAACCACTGCGCGGCATATCGATCTTCTTGGCCCGCACAATATTCTTCATCCGCTGGATCTCATTTTTGGCCACCTTCTCGTTACGCAGGTCGATCTTCTTCTGGAACATGTCCGTATTGGGATCGGCGTTCTGTGGCACCTCCAGCACCCAATCCTTGGCCTTCTCGGCCTCGGCACGCTTGAAACCGTATGTGGGCACCCATTTCTAGAGAGATTTATGCGTTTAGATTGTGACTTGTGAGTATTAAAGAGCTAAAACTTGCATCCATGGTCTCATCGTAGGTCTTCTTGTCCTTCTTCTTCTTGGTGATGCCCTTCTCCTTGGCGAACTTCTCCCATTTGGTGAGCGGACGAGGACCGGGCGGTTTCCGGAGGCGGGGCAGTACCGTCGTGGGTTCCGGCAGCTTGGCCACAATGCTCTCGTCCACCCGCTCGGTGGGCAGCTCCCAAATGGCATTCACAAGAAGTTGCGTGTTCTCCCGCGTCAGTGCGGTCAGGTACTCCTCTTTGTTGGCTCTATAAACATATTCATATATATAAAAGGGAAATGGTTCTCGCTAAAATCAGCCGCTTACCTCAATTCCCGGTCATCGAAATCGTTGGGATCTGTGATCAGCAGGCTGCCAACGTCGAGTCGACATTCTAAATGCTTTTCTACTGTGATCGGCTTGTATTTGTCCAATTCTTTTTGGTGTTTGGCCAAAACTTCCTTAACAACATCCATTTTGTGGGAACGAGCGTATAAACAGCAAAATTCAATTCCACGTGCTGGCCACTGTGACCATACCCCACATTATCGAAAATGCCTAAAAATATCAATTAAATACCAAATACGAAACTAGCGGCGAAGACTCGAACCATGGCGGAAAACTTGGCTATACACTTATCGGTCTATCGGCGCTAATTCAAATACTATTTAATATTTCTGTTCGTATAATAAAAACCTTTTTTATAGTTCCGCATTTATTTTACGATCCTTGCAACGTAACGTCCAGCGCTTCTCCGCCTCATCCAATGTTTGTGGCATCGTAGCTCCCTTGGTCTCTGGCAGAACTAAGATTATTGAGGCGCCTATGCACGAAACCAGTGTGACTATGAACATGGGTAAGGGACGATAATAGCGGTGGGTGCTGAGCACAAGTGGCGATATCAGGGCACCCATCTGGCCCATAATGTTTATGATAGCCAGTCCCTGGCCGCGCAGCACGGTCGGCAGTATCTCAGAGGCCCACTGTTGACCCACGTTGTAGGCCATGGTGGCGAAAAATCTGGCTAAAATGGCTGCTGTTGTTACAGCCCATTGTCCTCTTAGTAGGCCAACGCAAAGACTGGATGTTGCGCACAGCAGCATAACGACGGACATCATGGGCTTGCGACCAATTCGATCTAGCAGAAACATTGGGACAATTCCGGCAGGAATTTCAACGAGCGAGCAAAGGGAAAAGGTTATGAAAACATCGGTGTCCAGGATTTGGACGACCCGCACATGGGCATCGTACGCCAAGGCCACAATCATCCAACTAACGATCAAAATCGTTAGGACGACGAACCTGCGAAATGTCTTAAAAAGATCCAGACTGGTGTACTGCTTTCCCGCCTGCTCGTTGGCAAATTTGAGTTCAAAGCATTCCTGCATCTCCGACCAAACCTCTTCGGAAACGGTTTTTCCATTGGCCTTGGCCGCATCTCTTAGGACTTTTATACCCCTGTCCACCTTACCCACCGACAAGAGCCAACTGCAATGTGAAATGAAGTGCGGATAGCTTCAGAAAAACGAGTCATAGCTTACCTTGGTGACTCTGGAGCCAGCAAGCTCGTCAATATCATTAATACCACTGGCAGGGCAACGACCATGGCATAGTGCCTCCAATTACTGAAGGCATAGGCCAGCCAGGGAAGCAGGCAGGCGCCCAAGGTGAAGGAGACTGCGAGGGATAAGTTCCCCACCAGGGTGCGATACTTCATGCCAACGTTCTCCAAAGCTATTAAAAAGGAAGTGATGATATGATGATATAATGATCTGATGATCTATGCACTATGCCGCACTCACTAAGAATATAAATGGGAAGGAAGCAGTAGTTCATTGCCAGTCCAGCCACAAATCGACTGGCAGCAAAGCAGGGAAAGTCCTTGCAGACCGCACTGACGCAGCCGCCGATCAGGGAGCAGGAGTTGGCCAGGAAGAGGGCCACCAGGCGACCGGAGTGATCGGTGATGTATCCAAAGAGGAGACAACCCACAATGCAGCCGACAAAGAAGACGACGACACTGTATGTCCCGAAATCCCTTTTATCGCACACCCAATTGTACTCAGTGGCGATGGACTCGTAGGGCACCTCCTTGCGATCATAGATCCAGCCATTGCTGCAGGGTACCTTGCTCCTTGTCTGGTTCGCATCGCTGGTCTTATTAGAGTTGTAGGGCATATTGTACATGAAACAATTCTCGAAACTGCCATCATGCTTTTTGGGGATGCCCCGATTCTTTTGCTCATTTTCCGGCAATCCGTCCAGTTCTCTTACTCTGCACCAGTGATTCCTTGGCAGCAGTATCATGAATATCTGACCAAAGTAGGTGAAAGCGAACAGAAAGGCGGCGGGCATCATCCAAAATAGCAGTCCCTTCTGAAAGGGTCCGAAGTCTCCAATGAGCAGCAGGAAGTTATCATACTTTTCACAATCTCTGGGGGGCATTTCCACATTTAACTTAATAATTGTGTACAAAACAAAAGCCAACTTCTTTGAATGTCCTACTTGTAGCCTTAAGATCTTGTATATGTTTTATTTTGAAGAAACCATTCTAAGCTCCAGGATCCTTTTTGAAATCCACGCCTTTCCCGCCAGCTATCGATTACTTTCCAGGCTTCGTTTCAGTTCGGTATTTAATCTGTCATGCATGCTGGTCCCACAAATATGCGCCGATATCGATAATTGACTAGTTACATCTCTAGTTTGCGCGCGAAACACTTTTAATAACAATGGATGTGGATTTACTGCCTCTGAGAAAGCGAATAACAAACACGTTCAAGCTATGTGGATTCCTGATCCGCTCGGAGAACAGTTCCTACCTGGCGGAGCAGCTGCTGCCCTTCGACGCGGCGGAACGGGACAAGTGGCTGACGGTGATCACCGAGAATCTCCAGAGCCAAAAGCTTTTGACGCCTCATGTGGAGCGGGCCGCCCTGGAGAAGGCCATCAATGAACTAAACCGTGTGGGATTGGATGAAGGGGAGACGGTCTTTGCCCTGATCGATGCCTTTACGGTGCCCCGTTTCCGGTATAACCAGCGGGTCAAGAAATTCGAACTGGACACACAGCCGCGCCAGTTGCTGACCGCTCCTCGCATGAAATCGGACTACATGCAGCAACGATATGCCATGTTACTACAGAAAACTCTGCGACACGACCTCTTTGCACCCGCCGTCATCCAGGATGGCGTTGGAGCCGAGGCCCAGGCTAAGAAATTTAAGCTGCAGTTCGCCGAGAATCTGCTGGCCACCTCGGCGATGAAGGAGGCCGTTGTTTTGGGACTGCTAACCCAACTGAAGGAGGGCAAATTCTATGTCGAGGATCCCACGGGATGCGTCCAGTTAGATCTTACTGGAGCCCGTTTCCATGCCGGCTTCTTCTGCGAGGGCTGCTTTGTTCTAGCGGAGGGCAACTATAACAACGGTGTGCTCAAGGGTAAGTACCCTAAAGTAGTTAATACCTACATCTCACGAATGTTTTATGTTTTACGCAGTCGACGGCCTGGGCTTCCCACCCGCGGAACCGGCAAACAGCAGTCGAGCGTTTTTCGGCACCGCCAACACCTGGGGCGGTGAGTCTGCTAAGCTGCTGAAGTACTCAGCCGGACTACAGGAACTGGAGCGTACCAATACAGAAACAACCATTGTTTTCCTTTCCGATGTTCGGCTGGATCTGCCAGTTGTCATGGACAAGCTGCGTCAGTTGTTCGTGGGCTACGATTCCTGCCCGCCGCAGGCTATAGTGCTCATGGGTCCCTTCACGACCAGCACAAGGAATCATCATGAGCTAAGGCATCACCTGGATGCTTTGGGTGGCTTGGCAGCTGGCTGCGAGCAACTGAGGAAACAAACGGATCTGATTCTCGTTCCCTCTTCGGAAGATCCCACGGCGCCAAATATTCTGCCCCGTGCTCCCATTCCCGAATGCCTGGCAGCCGGTCTGCTGAAGGCCTGGCCACGCACCCAGCTGGCCACGAATCCCTGTCGTCTGCAGTACTGCACTCAGCAGATCGTTGTCTGCCGTCTGGATTTAATGGCCAAGTTTTGCCGAAACACCTTGCATTTTCCCGAAGACACGTCACAGATCGAGCAGCATTTTGCCAGAACGATTGTGTGCCAGGGTCATTTGGTGCCCATACATCCGATTGCCATGCCAGTGCACTGGGACTACGATCCTGCTCTGTGGTTGTATCCACTGCCGGATCTTATTGTCATGGGTGATTCGTGTCAGAGCTTTAGCAGCAGTCAACATGGGTGCACTGTTCTCAATACCGGCTCCTTTGTCAAGTCCAAGTTCGCCTTCAAAGTGTATATACCAGCGACGCGAACGATTGAGGACTCGGAGATACCGGACGATTTGGAGTAGATATGATATAGTTAACCTTAACGTAAGTTTGAATAATTATTTAATTGGATATCTTGATTACTCTTTTGATGTCGGGCAACTTGGGCAATACCATTCATATTACGAACAAAACTTTATACGATTTCAAGCCTACCGAATATTTGGGAAAAATCCCAGCCATTTAACGATTTGAATGTAAGCTTGTTTCGGTAGCTTCCTCCGACTTCACATGTTGCTTGGCGCGCCAGCTCGCCAATTTTTCGGCACCCAGTGCGTGTGGCTGTTCCCTCGTGATAAGCGGCCCAGCCTCATCATCACCGTCGTCAGTCATCATATGCGCACAGCATGTGTTCCGCAATCGTCTCCTGGCTGTGCGGCTGACGCGCCTCGCAATCTGCTTTTTACGGCGACCGGGGGTTGTCTATTACTTTTCATGACTTAAAGCCGATTTGGAAAAATATTGTTACTCTGTCCGATGCCGGCCACTTTGGGTCGTGGAAATTCAATTTCCCAGGCTGGCGCGCAACTCCTCGGCAGCTGAAACGGCAATTTTGATAATGCGTTTGACCTGAGGACATCGATGGCCCCCATTTGCTGTCACATGACCAGTTGCCGAATCGTTTTTTAAGACATCATTAGCCGGGTCAGATGTGGAAGTGGGTAGGTTTTTTTTTTCGAACGGCTCGAAGCGTTTTGCTCTCCTATTGATTTATGATTTATGAGTGCAACTTGGCTAGTTGTATGCCGCACGTCCCTGGGATCAATTTCCAAAATGTGTCCACCATGGGTGTCAATTCGATTTGGTGGGCGTGGTCAGCCTTGGCTGCTAACTATATATTTCATCTGGGCCATCCCTTTCGAGTGTTAAGCATTTATATTGCTCTGTATTCATGGTGTCTCTCCAGGCAGATTCAAAATGTTTTCTGTGCGACAACAATCTTGCTTCTGCTTCATTTAACTGGTACATTGGAAACTTTTGAAATTTAAATATTGTTTTGCGGTTGCTCTGCAACTTGGCCGCAATAACATAAAAGAAAAAACATTTTATCTGTTATGGTCATCGGTTTTTATGGTGTTCTCCCCGCAAAGTTGACACCATTTAATTTGGAGCTCAGTCTGATATCTTCCTTCAGACTTTTGGGACTCGATTAAAGCAATCACTGATGCGGAATTCTGGAATCTGTGTCTTGGCCATCAATCACGCGACCAGCTGCGTCCCCAAGTGGGCCGAGTCCAATCAAGGATCAAAGCAACTGCCCATCATATCCCACCTCAGGTTATCCTTTATCCTTTCGCACACACATGCTTGGCAATCAAACGGCAATGCGCTCATGTGCATGTCCTGTGGTTATTTGACAATTGTTAACCCATCTCTTGGCTTTGTTCGACTGATTCCTTGGTGTTGCCAAGTGGCCATATGCCAAGCGTCCCCTGAAAATCCATCCCGTAATCCTCGACTTGGTGGTGTGATTTCGATTTGGATAAATATCCATAACTGGGGTGGCTTTAATCGTTCTCGCGGATACCCTTTCGATTGAGTATGGAAATATATATGCAATTTTCCCAATGGAGTACTACTACAACCAGTCGTACTTACAACAAAACTTCTAGTTAGTTAAATTAATAAAATATCAGTAAACTAATACTACTCAAAATTAAGGGGATTTACAATTTCTGTAGCTATAAAACTATGTTTATATTGATAGCAGGAATTCAAAGGGCCCAACTAGTATTTGATGTTAGTTACAAAGCTAGAAAATCGGGGGGAACCTATAGCTTAATATTATAGAGCATTTCGATTTATTATTTCGTACGTTACATGCATATATTTATAATACCATTTTAAAAACCCTTCGAGGGCATGAATATGGCAATATTTTTAGCGCATATGGTCAAAGGTTTTGCTCGGCGCTTTGAAACCACAACGTCAACTGGAAAATCAAAAGCTCGCCTTTGTTTATGGAGCCATTCTATTGTTATGCGACCACTGATACTTGGAGGGTTTATTAACTTTTTACGAACTCAACAATGAGCTGCATCCTTATAGCTGCTGTCGGCATTCAAAACTTGATAGGGTTATCATCAACATTGTGTGCAGTCCTAAAATACTGGGCGAAGTGCACTTGGGTAGAATGAGTAAACGGAGCTCGAATTGCGAATAAATCCGCTCCATAAACTCCACTGTGAGTATGACAACAATGTATCAGCTTAAGCCCCGGACTGTCGGCGGTCGGCGGTCTAGAGTCCGGACGTGTGCCGACATTTACGCCTCAATTATCAGCCGCAGAGCAAGCACAAGCACTGGGGGTCACCACTTGCCACCGCATAGAGGCGATAATTTGCTGGCCATAAGCTGCTCCCACACATGGTGTAGTAGTAGACCTTGGTAGAAGACCACCCAGCGTGTCCGGTCGTTCAATTCAATCCGCACCAATCCCAAGCGATCCGATCCATGTCCATTCGGTAGCGGGGCAGCAAGTGACACGTGGCGACCATTAATTTACGCGTTGGCTTTATCTGCGATTTGCTTGCGCATTCTCAGCCAGTCCGGGGATAACTCCACTGACTTCGGAGGTCCTGCCACGTGCCAGAGTTGGCAAATCAAATGCTTTTATTATTTAAAGCGACAAACGGCGACGCCGTTTTATTGTCTTCCTTAAGCCGATAACAACAACTGTCTGCTGGTTTGCCTGTTTGCCGGTGGCATTTGATGGCAGGACAAATTACAAGGCAGCCGCATCCTGACCGCCATTGTCCTTGGAATGGATAACGAATTGCACCTTGGGGACACCGCTGCTGGTTGCTCCCTTTGTGTCTTAATGAAGCAACTGGCATGTGATAAATTTTAATTGATTTCATTTGCTTCTCTGCGGCTTTTGTCCGGGCCACTTGGCCACTTGGATAAGGATCCGCGGCTAAGCGCGGCTCATTAGCCAAGCATAATGCATCTAGATAACGCCGTGATGTTTGACATAATTGAATTTGGCTTCTTAAGCTCTCCTGCTAATGATTCTAATAATGTTTTCCTCAAACTAATGCCACTCACCTGGCAGGATCATTAAAAATTGGTCATTGCAAGTTCCTAAACTCCGTACTTATTATATTAATCAGTGAAAAACATTACGCTCGTAAAAAAGTACGCAAAGCGTTTTATTACACAACTCATCAAATTGTTTATTAAAATGTTCATATATTCTGTCAGGGTTTTTATTTCGAATTTTCCTCTGGAATTACTTCGCGGTTTTTTTTTTTGGACTCTTATTGTTCCTATTTTCTATCGAACCTTATTTGGTAATTTTCTCTTGTTTGCTTGTGATTTTTTTCTACATCTTCTATAGAATTTATGTTCTTTAATATTAAAACTTAAGCTTTCAATTTTAACATCACTATCTAAACCCTATTTTTTTGGGTTTTCTTGGACAGTTTTCAGTTACATATTTCAAATTGATTGCGTTTTAATTAAAACTCAGCATAAATCACCTGAGTGGGCAGGACTCTCGGCTCTCGGCTCTCGACAGGACTCAGTGGCCATTGGACAGTAAGACAAAAGCCCCAATTCTGCAGCCGTGTCAGCACAATGGCACAGGCGACATAAGCCGATTTCAGGGATATCTCTGCCCGGCTCCAGTTCCCACTACCCACTACCCACTTCCCAGTGCCCCGAAAATGGTTCGAATATTATCATCAACGCACAAGTGGCTTGTACTTGTCACACACAGTAACCAAATTCCCTCGCTCCCTCCCCCTGGTGAACATGGCAAAATATTTTCATTGTGTTTCAGCAGATTTTCCGCCACGAGAAGGGGGTTGGAAAAGTGGGTAGCTGGAACTCGCAATGCGATTACCTGCGCTTGCCTATTTGCAGCTTGTTGTTCGCTCCACCAAAAGCGGAGTGGGAAAGCGGCGTCCGTCCTGCCCTGAATGCTAATCGACTTTTGATTGTGTGCTTTGCCGGAAGGATGAGGAGGCTCGCACAAAAAGGTTCAAATGGTCGGGCCATAAATAGGAATTTATGCGAGATTGTTTTTTTCATTTTGGAATGGACCGCCGAGATTTATAGATGAGGGTGGTATACGAGTGTGTGTCCAGTGCGCTGATTGAATTTTGGATGGGATTTTTGGCCTGGGTTGCGACTGGCGCAGGTGACATATTCCTGTCGGCCGAATGACAAGTGTTAACGCCTGTTTTGTTTATTATTTTACCCCCGAATGCCGTCGTGCCGCCGTGCGGATCTCTATTGTAATTGCTAAAAAACTTAAGCTGCGTAAAATCCCAAGTTTCAATTTAACGCTCTCATGATTTCTTGCTGGGATTTCCTGGACATGTGAGTTTGACAAGTGCAGCTTGCACTGCCAGCTCTATCTTATCTGGCCTTTTTGTTTTGTTGATGGGAAAAGCATCCGCCATCCGCTGGCGCTCCCATTTGACACTAAGCAGATGCGGTCGAGAATGCTCCATGTGGCCACTCCGGGCTCCAGACTCTACTCCGGACTCCGAACTCTGGACTCTGATGCTCTCTTTCGAAATTCGAGCTCTGCAAAGAGTTGCCTGGGAAAAGCGGAGCATGCGCCTGGGTAGCCAGGGGGCGGGTTTCGGCGAAGCGCCAATGGCAAGTGGCAAAATGGAGTCGCCACAGAGTTGTTGAAGCGAGACAGGAAATTGATTGGGGGGCAGAAGAGAACGGAGAATGGAGAACGGGCGCCCTGCACATGATTGCACATATGTGCCGGCTGCGATTGCTGGCTAAGATTGCGAGTGGAAAAGGGAGCGGCTGCCAAATAAAAGGGGGAGAAAAAAAAACAAAAAAAATGGCGACGTCCCGACGCTATCGCTTGCAGGCAACATACGTGTGTACTCGCAACAACATGTGTGATGTGTGCCCCGCCGTATGGAAGCCCCTTTCTCTGCGGATCCTCACGCTCCTCCAGCGCCACGGACTCCTCGCTGCCCTCCAGGCACACCCATATGTAAGTTTCTACATACGAGTACAATGCGGCGTAAATAAACAGGCTGCCACCACAAAAGCGACTTCCTTGGTCCTTCTTCCTTCGCTCTAAGCATTTTGTTTTA